AGTAAAAATAATACTTTAGGTAGAAGACACTATCAGTCTTATCGAGAGTAACTTGTAATATCTACAGTCTTCAGTCTCTATCGAAACATGAATAATTACAAACACCTACGTTGGAAAAAGAGATCATGTGATAGCACCACAGCCCACGTGAATGGGCAGTTTTATTGGCTGTCGAGAAATGTATACATATTTTCCTTTGCAAAAATAAATCCATACAAACACAAATGAAGTAAAAAATAAATAAATGCCAAATAAAAAGACCTTTAACTTTGAACTTAATGACAGTTGCAGCTATACAGGCAAGTCATACTGACTCAAATGAGTTAGCAGTACATGTCCGCTGAAAATCCCATTTACTTGTTTTAGAAACAGCATGAGGTAACAACATATTTCCAAAATTGCCAAAACAAAGTGACCTAATTAATAGTACAAAACTGTAGAACAAAGTAACTGCAAAGGTAATAATTGTGGTGATGGGAGCAGTCTAAATATCCTGCCTACACGTGTTAAACAGAGACAAACTGTACTGCGAAGGAGGAGCAGTGGACTCTGTTTAACACTAGTAAACAGCATTTGACAGTGTGGCTGGTGAACAGATCTTCAACATTATACTGTGAACATTAGAAAGCTGGTGTCTATAATCGGACGTAACTGTAAACTTTCGCTACTTTACTTGTATCACTCGAAGCAGCAATTATTTTGTTCATGTTAGGTTTTCTACATTGCATGAAATAAATACATTGCAGTAAATGTTATTTTACAAAGTTTATACTGGGTTTAATCTGGGAGTGGTGGTGCAGTTTTACTGAAGAGGTGGTGGACTTTTCAATCCAAAAGCCTGAGATACAACTAAAGAATCATGAAACACAGTCTGAAAATCCTTAGAATCTCTATCAGCTGGTAACCAAACAGCAGCAGGTGGCAGAGATGCTGTGTCAGGCTTCAATCTAGTCTTTTTACAGCTTTTAAGTGTAGGCAGAGATTGTACAGCACCTTTTCCATTTGGAACACGAGTCATATCAAATATGTGTTTTTCAGTCTAGATTGTTTACGGCATTGTTAGTCTACGTGGAGTTTTGTTTGCCTGCTGCACGGAGCCGTCGATTCAAGTCAGTACAAACGACAGATGCTGTTTTGTGTGCCGATTAGAAATGGAGTGGAAAACGTGTCCAGCTCTAAACGGCACCGTGCTGGTCGGGTTTTAGAGTGCACCCATCGGTCCATGGTCTTCAGAATCACCACATCTAAACATTGTGTAGCCGTTATTTAAAGTTCTGAAGTGCACGTTATCAAGGCAGATTTCCATTGTCTCCAAAGACTTGTAGGTTTTCCACCTTGAGAAATGGTCCAACATCCCAGTGCAGACAGTTCACGGCAGAGGTCCGAGGTTTGAAGCTGCTCTGAAGACATAGGGTGGCCCGATCCCTCCCGGCCACTGTAACGTATACGTCGCTAACTCTGAATGTGCCAAATATACATAGATGCAAAATATTTTCCCTAAACACCTCACAGAGTTACATGGCATGCAGATGATATGTCCAATGTCAAAGTGATGTTAAATGTGTTGGTGGATTGTACATACAAGCTTGTGTCAGTGTCTCAGCATTACCGGAGCAATAGTAGCAGTTAAAGGCTGCTGAACAGGGCATCAAGAGACGCTGTGAGCAGTGCTTTCTTGTTCTGAGGAATCTGGACGGTGGTCCGAATGAGGCGACGTATACAGGAAGTTACAGCACACGTAGAGGGGGAATGATAACAACCGGCTGTCCAGGTTCATCACCACATACTCCTGAGTCATTGAAGGGAAAAGAGGAATATTAAGCAAGTCAAAACCAAAAGCATTTTATACACGACAATTAAGTCATCTACAGCTTTGGGTTAACAGTGCTCACTGACCTGGTCTTTCTCAAGGGTGAGCAGCTGGTAACCTGTTGAGCGGCTGCAGACCAGCTTTCCACGGCTATCAAAGGAGGCGAGACGTAACCTGAAAAAAATAAAATGGTCAAAAGGAAGGTTAAACACTTTCCACGATTACACTAACATTTTGGAAAATGTGCGTGTTTGGTTGCCAAAAGTTAAATGACAAAACTGATGCCACTCCACTCGTGCCCGTAAGGTAAATATGATGCTACCATCAGCAGCTGGATAACAAAGCTTAGCATGAAGACTGGAAACAGGGGGAAACAGCTAGCCTAGCTCTGTCCAAAGGTAACATCCAACTCTCCGGAGGAAAGCGAATAAATGTATTTCCTGAAATGTCAAACTATTCCTTTAAACAAATATCAAACACCAAGTTTATTTGCAACACCGTTATCATTTACAACAAAAAAATAAGCTTGATGTGCAATTCTGGCTGTGATTCAAAATAGACAGCATAGTTTCTATTGTCATTTCAGTAAATAAGATTAGGAAACTATAATAGGTTAATAATTAGAATACTAATACAACTAGTCAATTGATTATTGCATAATTATTATTACATAAGAAGTATAACAATTACTCATCATTTAAATTCAGATCAAATAAAATTATTCAGTGTTTCCAGTTCTGTTGTAGTCGTATCCTCAATTTTTTACAGTGTTAATTCTTTCATTTCTGACTGCACTACTTCGAATATAATGCAGCTAAACAAACAGCATCACAATATTTGTTTTGTTTGAGACTCTTCTTGCAGACCAGTAACAATCAGTGTGCTTATTTTAAAGTCCATGATAGACACAGCTGTATTCGATAAATTCAGACCTGTATGCCAGATGTCTTCGAGGTTGCAGACTCACAGCGCCCCCACATGGCTGACTCAGAGTATTTCTTTTGAAGACTATGAAACGGTTCGTGTAAGTCACCAGCAGGTCAAAACCAAAGTTAAAGCCTGTCCACCGCCAGCAGTACTGAGGAGAGGAAAATATCAGGGTTTTTTTCTGTAAAAATTAAACAAAATACATTGTACAGGAGCAAATGTTATTATAGTAGGAAGAATGTCCGACTCACGTCTCCATCTTTTGTCAGTTTCCTGCCGCACCTCATACTGCTCAGCTCGAACTCCTCTTTGTTAGCTTCATGGGGACTAATGACAGAAAGGTGCCTTTGTCATCCCAACAGCATTAAATCAAACTCTATACAGCTATTGTGGTTATATCAAACAGTCCACTGACATTACAGTTGTTCAGTTCTCACCCATTATCATTGTCAAATTCTGTCCGGAGCATAGCGAACCACTGGTTTTTGTACACCATCATTAACCAATCTGGAATAAGTTCGAATAGAAAATATTACCAGATGCAAACATTGGGATGGACAATGGTTTTACATTTGTCTTTTGTTAAATTTAAGTAAAATCTAAGTCTATTTACATCACTTACAATGAAATGAGACAATTTACGGCAACTTAAATTAAGCACCAAATGGACAGAATATTGGTCTACATAACTGGGTTTATTCTTCTGAGAATAATCAATAAAGTAACTCAAAATCCCATGAAAACTGAATTTAAATGTAATAATTCCATTCATGGCTTTGATACTAGATAATGATATTAAAGATTTCTTTTTTCCAGAGCACAGAAAAAGCAAATTCATGATTAAATTATGTCAGACAGAGCCGCATCTTACCAGGGGGCAAAATATTGTCTCTCTCCAAGATGCGTGCAGAAGCCAGATCATTGATGATGTACTGGAGACGAACGTATTTGAAGACTGAACGGAAAGGTGCGCCCTCGTCTGTGTTCAAGAAGGGCTCATTCTCACACAGGTCTGTAAACAAAGCCAGTTGGAATCAGAGTCAAACATCTGTGTGTGTGTGGCTACAACAAAACCATGCATATGAAGATAAGTGTTTCATAAGATGTGGCTTTACTGTACCTGTCCTGCGTTTGCAAAGCCACGCGTCAGCATCAGCCAGGAGCTGCTTGATTGGGCCGTCCCACAACAGATTGAGCTGCAGGAACATCCACTGCAGAGAGAGACAATTGCAAAGAGAGCTCTTAGTAAATGGTCTGTTGGTATAGTATAGTATAGTATAGAGTTATAAAGTATATCAGCTTACCTTTTTCAGAGCAGTGTATACATCCATCTCCACCTGCATGACAAACAGGTCCGAGGACTGGATGAGCTGCTCCATCACCTCAGTCCTGTATAAGCAGTGCAGAGGTAAACGGTGAGTACGGTGAAACTTAACCACTCAACACAGACATTTGATTGTCACAGCACTAAAACATAACAACACAATCCTAATTAAGCAGCACATTGTAATTATGAGGTTTCATGGCAAAATAAAAAAATATATTTTAAGTTAAGAGAGAATCAAATACACAAGATGAGAGCTGAGCACACATACCCAAGTTCTTTCATCAGCTCGACATTTTGGTGTGTCATCAGGTTGTTCAGAAGCCACTCAAGACACCTGCAGAGAGAGATTCACAAACACACGCGCAGTGGGTGTAAGTACACAGCATGACGGACGGATTTAGCCGTTAACTACTGTGATTTTAAATAATTTAATCAAATTAGAATCTGACTTTTTCATGACTGAATCCAAGCCGTAGATACTGGCACAAGCGTAGTAGCCACACACAGTCTTTGCACTGATGTTTTCCTTCATGGTCTCCCCACATTGCTGGATCAAACCGTCCTGCAGACAAGAGAGACTGGATTAGGTTTTGTATCATATGGCTGCACAGACAAAAATCTACATGGTAACTTCTTTTTTAAGACAACATCATTCAATGTACTCACCAGCTGTAACATACAAGCAGCGGCAAGAATACTGACAACCCTGCTGGGTTTGATCAGAACATCATCCCGGTAGAGTGATCCGAATACCACCTGTAGAGCTACACACACATGAAACAGTAAAGTTCTGTCAGTAAAACACACAACCAAACAAACACACAACAAACAATACAAACAGCCAAACAAACACAGTCCACTGCTGCTTTCTGTGACTGAGGTCCTCTCACCTTCAGTGTCGATGTTCTGGTCCGGGATCTCCAAGTTGATTTCCATCATGTTGGACTCCTTCCAAGAGCCGCTGAACATGCTGGAGAAATACCCAGACTGCAAAATGCAAGATGGAGGGAGAGAAAAGAGAAAGGGAAGAAGAAAGATAATCAAATAATTATGATAGACAATAAGAATAAGAATATATCCCTTACTGTCTTGTGTTTTAGTATTAGTGTTTTACCTGGCACAGGTACACTTTGTGGAGGTTCCACTCTTGTCCCAGAGCACAGATGCGAATATCACTGTTTTCCCCATTCAGGAACAACGTCTGATAAATGTATCGTGATGTGCTCTTCAATTTCTTTCTGCTCGAGTTTGGAAAACACAAAACAGACAACAGAATAATGTAAGACTAAATATTGAGGATAACATTAAAGATATTTTATTTATTTTATACTGGACTTGCCTGCGAGGTGTATCTAATATGGCATCGTCCTCCTCTTGTTCACTGTCACAGTCACACTGAGCGTTTCGCTTCCTCTTCTTACACTCACATCCATGCTTGCGACTGGTACTTGTGCCCTCTGCAGCTTCCTCTGGTCCCTGAGAGGGGGATTGGAACCTGCTGCCCAGACTTCCCATCTCTACACAAACAAAACAAATAAATATAACAGGTCAGCTGTAACGTATAGATCAATAAAATATCAGAATAATGAGAACAGATAGTGTTGGGCTTCTGCAGTATCTCAGTACAGCTGTGTGTTTTTCTTGAGGGCTTCAAGTATCAATGAATTTCATTCCTGATCAGTTGGTTGATTCATTGTTTAGTCTATGTCAGAAAATAATTAAATATTCCCATTACAATTTCTCAGACCCACGTGACATCTTCAAATTGTTTTGTCCAACCAGTAATTCATTTACAAAAATATAAAACAGAAGAAATAAGCTCATTCACACATTTGTGACGCTGGAACCTGCAAATGTTTGTCATTGTCAATGTTTGGGCATAATATTCCACATTTTGATAATATCTCTAAAATGTGTTGCGACAGTTTGAAAGTACCACTCATCATCTCTGAATAAAAGCACATTACATTCAGTGTATAGGTATTTTAATGGGCTGGGTCCAGAGGTGGGACATGGGGTGCCACCTTTAAAACTGAATTGACACCCCAGTTTGGTGTCAATTTAACACATTAATCAAAAAAGAAATGGAAATGAACACATATAATTTAATGACCTGTTATGGCCATGTTTGAATTGATTGATTTTAAGTGTCAGGCTTAGTTCACCCTTTTATCTGAAGATAAAACAATTTACTGATTTCTAATGCTACCTTTAGATATTTCTATTCGATGCTTTACTAATGTTTTTGAGTGAATATTTCTCTACATCCGCCTCTGGGTATTTGGTATAAACAATGATATTTCACTTTGATATCGCCTTGTCTAAAAAAATGAAACATCTTAATCGATAATGGCATTAATAGGTTAAATGTTCAAGAATAAAACTAATGACATTAAAGCAAGTATGTTAGTAAACGTGTGGCTGTTATAATACACCTATCTAAGTGAAAGAAAGGTAATAATCGGCCTCAGAAGGCTCAGATATTTGCATGTAGGTGTGTTTTTGAGTGTGAGAACAGAACAAAACAAAGCCTGTTTCATCAACAACAGCATAAACCAACCAGATGTACAGTCTGTTCAACAACTACAAAACAGCGACTGAGTTAACTTACCTGACGATGAGCACCGGGGGGAGCTGGGGCAGAGGTGTGGGGTTACTTTGGACGGTAAACACCGGCGGGTTGTCTCCGGTGAGGCGGTCTGTCACACGTTGACGGGGAGCTAACCTCGGAGCTAGCTCAACGTAGCTGCCGGATTCACAAAAGGGAAAAACAAGTGTGAACACAATTAACAGCGTTTCTTCTGACAAGCTGCGACTCCACGCAAGCTTCCAGACCGCAAAACTCTTCGCGGTTCCAGTTACATTTTTGTCTAAATTAAAGCAAATGTGAGCCAAAGAGGTGACGTTAGGAGATGATTGTGTGCTGCCCTCAAAACCTGTGGCTGCTTTTGTTATTCTTCTTCTCTCGGTGGTTCGCGGCGGCGTCACAGGTGGCTGCCCCGCTCACCGGCGCCACCTGCCGGTAGAAAAAAGTCAGGGGAATCTATTTTATTTATTTATTTTTTTTATTTTTTTTATTTTTTTTAAGTTTTTTAATGTAAAAATACTGCACCCGTACCTCATCCACAATCTCTTAAAATATATATGAATAACCCCAATACATAAAAAAAACATGGATGACCAATATACACATCAGGATCTATAAGTGAACCCTGCTGACCTGTCTGTCTGGTTCCTTTTGAGTCCAAAGTGCACTGCCAAATCAATAGTGTTAAGGTCTATATACTACCTCTGAAGATTTTGCCTAATGCAGATATACACTGAAGCTTCTGAGAGGAAAATCATTTGATCATTTAGCTCAGAAAATCACCCAAAACTGTTTATTTAGTCTATTAAAATTAATTTTCTTTGCTGTTTACATTGATTTGAATCAGAATCAGATTACAAAAATATACAAATCACACAACACAACAATCACACACAAAAAATAAAGTACTTGAAAGCATATCTTTCAGTTTAATGAAAGCAGGAAGGGTGACCACACACAAAATTTGTTTTTTGTTTTTATACATTAAACAAACTGTCAGTTACTGCAGTGGATTTCGAGGAAGGTTCCTGGAAAGAACTATGTAATTTGTCACTAATTATATATTGGTAAAATACAGTGTAACCTGTATTTAATCAGGTAAAGTCTCTTTGAGATCAAGATCTGTTTTGTCTACAAGCAAACATACAGTTGAATACAGAAGCTTCCAATAACTAATGAATAATATGAGATGGTTTGAATGGAGCAGTTATTTCAAGAAAATTCCCCTGGAAGTTAAAACTGCTTTTAAACTAAACATACAACTAAATCCTACCTAAGCTCAAAGCTTTGTCTTTATTTTACTTATAATTAGTACCAAATTACACAGTCTTAATATCTACTTATAAAAATACTCTCATGTGGCTGAAACAACATGCTGCCTTGATGTTGAAAAGCTTTGTTATGTACGTTTGGGTTGCCTGTGAGACAGTGTCAATGCATCCAAGGCAACCAGTGCACAAAGGTCTTGTTTTGCCAATTCAGACCACTTGAAAAACCTCTCGCACCCTTTCCCACTCACATCTGAATAACCCTCCCAAGAAGAGCAAAACCTCACTGAATGGAGGCTAACCCCTGAGTGTTTAGTCTATGTGCTGTGGCCAAAACATACCACCAGTTTTGACAGACATTTGAGATTCAGCAGAAGTGGTTACTTTCCAGACCTTTAAAGAAAGAATTAACTCCTCCTGCCAATATCAAAGAACAAAACCTGGAGAGGATTCTGCTCTTAATCTTAATCAGCCTCCAAAAGCTCAATTCAATACAGATTTACACAAAATAGCATTTCAAAGTCAGTTTCATAAAGATAACACTGATTAAGGATTCATGTGATGGCAGGGGTTTTATGAAGGGTGAGGTAATTATTGTTTTACAAAATTAAATCTCATCTCTATTAACTTTAATACAAGGCATTTAACAGGATTGTTCTTCAATCCCCCCTCTCTTTTAGCTGCAGAGTAAATAGCATTTGACTTAAAAAAAAAAAAAGACATTGCCACCTGTCTTTAATAATGTTTATGTACACTCTCTAAAAAGTAAATCCTTCACAACATTATCTTTACTCCAAATCCTCTGGGTCAACAAAAAAAAACAGGCGAACAGAAAAATATGATTATACAATACATCACTGCCCTCCAGTGGTATCTGTGGGACTCTTCTTCACACCAGCAAGAGCTCATAAAGATTGAGTTAGTCTTTGTTCTATTGTGTGCTTCTTGTTCTGAGCAATAATATCAAAAATAATATGTCTTGATATATTTGTTTTCCATGATTAATATTTTTCAGAATCTAAATCAAAACATACATGATTAATAATAAAAAAAATTCTCTGTATCTCTGTATCTATTATTATTTTATTTTTTTTAATATTTCTGTATATTTTTTTTACTAGAATGTCTTCTATTTGTGCTCCCCACAGCACTCGGAAACTACATTTCCCAAGAGGCTTTGGACTGGTTAAATAAAATTTGGTCAGATAGAATAAATAAATAAAGTGATATTTTGCATTAATCTAAGTGTGCGGAAATCTTTACTATCAGTTTGGACATTTGTGGCATTTAAAAAAAAAATCTGATATTTTTTAAATTATATATTTCCCCCCCCCCTTTGTTCTATTCAAGGTAAAGTAGAGAAAAATAAAACGTTTATATTTTATTGCACTTGTCTGTTTTACTTATTTATTTATTTATTTATGTTTTGTACGTGAGGCGGAAGCTGCCAGCGGCCGGATATGACGTATGAGGTGTCCCCATTGTGGGCGTATCCATCGCATGAATCAGCCAATGAACGACGAGCACCTCTGTCACAACATTCCAATCCCTCCCATACATCCTCCTCCTCTCCCTGCCTCCCTGTGTGTGTATGTGTATGTGTGTATGTGTGTATTGTGTGTGTGTGTCGTGTGTTGTGCGTGTGTGTGTGTGTGTGTATATGTGGGACACTGACACGTAACTTTGTCCGTTTCGTTGACGTGACCAGGCAGGACACCTCCACCTGGGGCAGGGAGAGTAGAGAGAGAGCACTATTCACTCTCTCTCCGACCAAAACCCGTTTTATTCTGGACATTTTGTAACATGGAGGCGAGAGACGCGACTACAGGTGAGCTCGTTGTTAGCAGTGACACTGTATTGTTGTTTAGCCGGTGTAATGACCACTTAGGCGTTCAACCAAGTTGTTTCCTAAACCAAAGCCGCGTTTGGTGTCTTTTGTAAATCATAAACCATGCAGGGATTTTCATATAGTCTAAATAAAGCACAATAAATTGGTGGACATTGGTGTTTTAGTACACACTATCTTGCTTTTACTCGTGAATAAAACTACACTGTATCTGTTCAACCATCTAGGTGCTCTTGTGGGCAGTGATGGAGAGGAACAAACCGCAAAGAGGGATGCAGCTCCTAAAAAAAACAAACCACAGACCAAAAGCAAGATGGAGACTATATTTGGGTTCAGGAGGGAGGACCTGACCTCCTGGAACAGCCTGGTGGCCCTCCTGAACCGCCCCACTGACCCTGCATCCCTGGGCATCTTCCGCTGCTTGTTCGGTGAGATAAGATTGCTCAGACCGTGAGCTGGGTGGAATAACAACACTTTGGTTATGCAGAAAATCTGTGTGCAACTTCTCAATGTGTCTTCTATGCAGGTTTGCTGATGGTTATTGACATCACACAGGAACGTGGCCTCAGTCACCTGGACTACAAGTACCTGGATGGTGCCCCTGTGTGCCGCTTTCCCCTCTTCAATTTCCTACAGCCACTGCCACTGGATTGGATGTATCTGGTGTATGTGGTGATGTTCCTCGGTGGGTCACACTGGTTTTTTAAATTTAATATTAGACGCTTATGTCCGAAAGGTTACAGGTTTGAAGTTTCACACCTCTGTTTTTACTGAGGCTCTGTGAGGAGTCTGGTCTGAGCGGATGCAGTCATTATATAGGAAACCGTCTCTGTGGGGCGGCTGTCTACGGTGAAGATGAAAGCAAATAACACCAGACCTGCATTTTTCCACCAAGCCAACTAACAACCTTTAGTTTTCCATATATATTTTTTTGCAGCGTAGCTCGTTGTAGCTTAAGCAAGACGGCAAACAGAAAGAACATGACAATCAAAGTAAATAAATACTGATAAAAACATAATCATTAAGGCTGTAAACTTAGTACTTTGGGTACAAATCTCTTCTCAACACTTCCAGCAACCTTTGGAATCAGACCAGAGGAATTTAAAAGCAACGTTACTTTTTCAGCCGATGTTTCACATCATTGACATTAAACCTACATTAAAACCATCGGTTAAAACACTTTAGAAATACATTAATACTGTAATTAAGTACTCTATTTGGACATGATATTTATCATATAACAACATACATTATAACACATGAAACATGTCTAAACGTGTTTATATAATTTTGTCAAGAATCTGGGGATACAATAGAGGGTTACAATCAAATATATTGCGATACTGTAACAGTATATATTTAGATTTTGAAGATCTTTTAAGTAGATGTCATAGTATAAAGAACACACCACCATATGCATTAAATCTGAAAAAGAACCTTACTTTTTTATGCAATCGGTGGTGTCTGCATTTGCATTACAGTCCCTGTAACATCCATCATATGCCATATCATGGCACTACTTTGTGTGCAGTCTGAGTGCTGCTGCTGAAGATTGATCTAGTGACTAGTGTTCGGGGTTTAAACCTTACACAAAATGAACCACTGCCACAAATCTTTGCATGTAAACTATTAACTAAAAATTGATAGTGGTATTGAGTGTCACAAAACATGATATCACAATACTCAGTATTCAGTATTTTCCTAAAACCCCTAACTGTATTGATTTTGCCCAAATTCCAGACTCTTATATTTCCCGTAATACAACAGTGTAGGATCTTTTGGTTAGACCGTCACTGTCTGGTAAACACCGACTTCTGTCACACTCAGAGTACTCAGAGTACGTGTGAAAACAGACTGATTACTAGTAACAACTGTTATTATGAACTGAAGTTGTGTCTTTATGTTTTACTTTGAAGGCTCCTTGGGCATCATGCTCGGCTGTTTCTACCGCCTCTCCTGCCTCATGTTCATCTCGACGTACTGGTACATCTTCTTTCTGGACAAAACGGCCTGGAACAATCACTCGTACCTCTACGGGCTCATCGGATTTCAGCTCACACTCATGAACGGCAACAGATACTGGTGAGACCACGTTTACCGGTCGGTCTGTGCGTTTACTCGTGCACGTCTGAACCCGTCTGTATGTGTGAGCTCAAAAGAACCTTTACGCCTTTTGTCTGTTTGTAGGTCGATTGATGGATTGCGGAGGCCTTCCATAAGAAATGCTCATGTGCCTTTATGGAACTACACTGTGTTGAGGACACAGGTTTGTGCACCAGTGACTTTTAACAATATTTCTTGAATTATTCATGAGCATGGTTTGGGTGCAGTTGATCTGATGATGTCGATGTCTTCTGTTCATATTTAGATATTTATTGTGTACTTCATCGCTGGAATCAAAAAGTTGGATGCTGATTGGGTGGAGGGATACTCGATGTCATACTTGGCACACCATTGGCTGTTTGATCCTTTCAAGTAGGTTTTATTTAGCAGCTCAGTCCAAAGATATTTTAGCCTTTAATCACTGTTGTACCGTCCCTCCAGGAAGTTGCGACATCCTCCTTGACCAAACTGACCAATCACTGTAGTTTCCTGCGAAAAACGTTGAGCTATACGTTTCCAAACTCACTTCTCTGTTTGTAAGATTTTATTCTCATAAGTCGCCTTTGATTTTTAATGAATTATGCAAAAAAACACAACTATTTTTAGCAATTTTTACTTTCTCTTGCAATTTAACTGCAAAAAAATGCCTAAAAACACTGCAACATGCATCGTAATTTTTGGGGAAAAGCTGCCATTAATTCAAAAACTTTAGTCCTCAACAATCCAATAAAAAGCCAGTGAAATCCTGGAGGGACTGGCTGTATGTCTGTCCTCCCGCTGTAAACTCGCTCTATCACACATTATTCTTCAGAGTGATCCTTCCAGTGGAGTTAATAAACCTGCTCGTGGTGCATGGAGGCGGTCTTGTTCTGGATTTGACCGCCGGATACCTTCTGTTTTTTGATGCCACGCGACCTTATGGATTTTTCTTCGTCTCCTACTTCCACTGTATGAACTCTCAGCTCTTCAGCATCGGTGAGGCTATTGTTAATTTACTTGTTGCCGTGACATTTTTAATTCTGCCTTTAATTTGTCGGGTGTCATTTTTACCTCTGTGTTATTGAGAATGTAAATCCTCCACAGGGATGTTTTCCTACACAATGCTGGCCACCAGTCCCCTCTTCTGCTACCCCGACTGGCCAAGAAGATTCTTTGGCCGTTTCCCAGCATGGCTCAGCCCAGTCCTGCCGCTCACCTCACCGGACCCTCAGCCGAGTACTTCTTGCGTTTACAGTGAGATCAACAGCACCAGCACCGAACGCCAGGAGACCCCGCCTGTCGCCAGAGCTCCCAAACTGAGGCTTAAGCACAAGCTGGGAGCCATTTTTACTATTCTCTACATACTTGAACAGTTCTTCCTGCCTTACTCCCACTTCATCACACAGGTACAACAAAGAACCAATTGTACCGGTTGTACTTTGCTGTCAGCAGAATCCTTTTGTCCCTCTCTGAGTCACCAGACTGATAGTTGCTCAATCAGAGTCAAAAGTCACTGGTCCACAGCAAACAACAGCTCAGAGCTGAAGCAGATACTCATCACTCAATCTGTGATATGACGTTGTTTTCTTGTTTTATTATCTTCTTATCTGTCTGTATCTGTTAAAAACTTGTTCAGTGGCTAGAAATATTTTGCAATATGATTTTTATTATAAGCATGGAATCATCCTAATGTTTCGTTTTTCCGCAGGGCTACAACAACTGGACTAACGGCTTGTACGGTTACTCGTGGGACATGATGGTTCACTCCCGCAGCCATCAGCATGTTAAGATCACCTACAAAGATGGAAAAACTGGGGAAATTGGATATCTGAACCCAGGGGTGAGTTACAAGGAAGAAAGCAGCAACAATAATGCAGTAAGAGCTTGAAGACCCAGGATGTATCCACAGTTTTAGTTTAGCAAGTTTTACATTTGTCACATGATGATAGGTGATCAAGTTTTTGCTTTTTACATCATCGTTTATACCAATTTCTGACCTGACCTCCGAGACTTTGATATTTTTACTTTTTATGCTGTCTGTGTACTGTAGGTGTTCACACAAAGCCGCCGTTGGAAAGACCACGGAGACATGCTGAAGCAGTATGCCACCTGTCTCAATCAGTTCCTGCCCCGCTATAATATCTCTGATCCTGAAATCTACTTTGACATCTGGGTGTCCATCAATGAACGCTTCCAGCAAAGGTATGAGAAAAAGTAAAAGATGCTATTAATGTAATTACTTCAGATATAAAAAATTATAATGAAGTTATAGTAAGTATGTTTTTAAATCTGCTCTCTAAGGATCTTTGATCCCCGTGTGGACGTTGTGAGGGCTGATTGGTCACCTTTCCGACCAAACACATGGCTGATGCCTCTACTGGTGGACCTCTCGCCTTGGAGGAGCAAGTTCCAGGAGATTGAGGGCAGCTTGGACAATCAGACTGAGATTGTCTTTATCGCTGATTTCCCAGGTTACAAACCTTTCTATGCTCTATTCTGTTGGAAACGTATAGTTATGTTTATAGATTATTGTTTTGTTTACTCTTATTTATTCTCCACGGGCTGCCTTTGTGCTAACTGACACTATGATACCTTTTAGGTCTCCACTTAGAAAACTTTGTAAGTGAAGATCTGGGCAACACCAGTATCCATGTACTGCAGGGCAAAGTGAACGTTGAGGTAGTGGAGGAGAAAAAGAACTACACTCTTCAGCCTGGTGAGCAGATAAAGGTACAGCAAAACACTATCACCTCTATTAACTGTATACTGCCTAACCTGGACACACTGTAGCATTGACCACAATGTGCATGTGTGCAGGTGCCTGCTGGGGCTTACCATAAGGTGTACACGGTGTCTGAAAACCCATCTTGCTACATGTACGTCTACGTCAACACCACAGAGGCGGCGCTACAGGAGAACTTCACCAAGCTGTTTGAGCTCCAGGAGCGTGTTCGCAACGGGACAGGTAAAACGTGTTCATGTCAGGCCGTTAATGGTGGAATATTGTGTAAAGAAATTAGGCTCTAATGCAAACTTAGTGTAGTAAAGGTGGCTTCTTATGTCAAGGCACTATAACTACATAAAAATAACCTCAAAGATGACAGCGTTAAACAGCTCTGACCCTGTGAGAACTGACGGCACAGTCTCATCCCACAGAAACCGAGCCGCTTCCTCCTGAGCTGCAGCCTCTCGTCGCTGCAGAAGACGAAGAGGTCAACGCCACCGACCCGATTGTGCTGCTGTTCCTGAAGAGGCAGCGCCGCATGAAGGAGGTGAAGAAGCGCAGGGAGGCTGGCGTGCTGGAGCGGCTAGATCGCTTTGCAGTGAAAAAGTACTACACAATACGGAGGGGGTGAGTGTCGTCCTGTAGCAGCACAAAAACATGCCAGGTTTTGTTTTACTTACTCTGAAAACTAAATAAATCTGTGATTGTATCTCATTTAATCTCCCTCTCTTTAGATTCTTGATGGCAGCCATTGCTATGAGAAACCTGGCGGTGGGTCTCCCTCCTCTCGAACAGCTGACAAGAGAAGTTGCCTTCGCCAACATGAAAGCACCTCAGGCAGATGGCAACCAGGACGAACGGCTGAAAGATGAAGTCGGTCATGGAGAACTTTAAAGCTGCAGTTGGGACCAAGGGTACTCTGGATCACACATTTCAAACAGATGTGTGTGTGTGTTTTGTTACTTCTAGACTGTTACTGGGACATTGCAGCCCAGGAATCAAAGGATTAGAAATTTTCTATACTTTTGAAATATTGTTTATAGGGAATATACTTCTCTCATCTTTTATGCTAACCCTGTAATGTGAGAAAAAAAAAATGACTGACAGAAATACAAAACAGTTGTTAGCTTGTCGATCAACGACCTTTTCTAGTCACTTTTCTAATAAAGAGCTGATGATGTCAATAAATTTCATGTTATTTTAATAAAAACAAAGTTTGTGGAAATAATGAATTTTATTGGTGTCAGTATTTTACATATCGCCCAGCTTAAAGTGCTACAGTAGAAGTCCAGTGTTCACTGTAGGTTGACGTTATGGCACATGAATGACACTTTTCACATAGAGCACAAACAGTACAATGTTACACAATATAAATACATATAAATCTACATGGTGGAACTCTATGAAATGATTTACTTTGTTAAAACATGAAATCATGATTCTGTTTAGTTGAGGTTACTTGCTCAAGATTAATTTAATTCAGTATAAATACAGTATGCAGTTTGTCACTGTGCTGTAGTGGAGGTCCTTGACAAGTGTCATCATTCAATTACTGCCCAGGAAATGACCATGCAACATCATGTTTCACAAAAGCTACGAGTCATTTCACGTGTGCACAACAGGACAGGGTTTGTTCTCTTACAGACATTGGTTCACAAGGAAAAATATAAAGATTTGTATTTTATGTCATATTGCACAGTGTTTTACTGGTTGCAAGTCTTTTAAATCACCACCTCTCGTTTAACAAGTAAAACAAAACACACTTTGCATCCCTTTAAGTGACGGGTGACTATGCCTCTAATCACCTCGTGTGGAAAAAACTGGCCTTCTGTATTCTGAGTAAAACATTAAATGTTCACATGACTGGTGTTAGTGTTAAAGACTGGCCTTTAGCAAGTGTTATATCAGAAGTCTTGTTTCCTTCTTGTGTGCGCAAAATCAAACTCGATCCTCGTTTTCGTGCACAATCTAAAACCTCGATGTGAAAGTCTACCTGCACCTACAGCCACCAACATGTGTCAGATGCCAGTTTTTGAGGGATTTGAGGAAATATAACAGGAACAGGAGGGACAGTAATAAGAGGGATTTGTGCTTTGATTTAATGATAATAGAATTTTTTTTAACATTATTTTGTACAAGCTGGAGCTATTTTTTTTTATGTAATACTTTTAAGGCCCTGTTTATACGGCAACGGCTCGTCTAAAAACAGAAAAGTTATTCCTTTGCATTTTAGGTTCCGCATTCATTGGGAAAACAATCTTCATGCACACGAATGTTCTCGTATTACTGCCAGGCCAGTAGGCGGTGGTGTAATTTTGTAACTCAGAACGCCACCATTTTAATCATGCCAGTCAAAATACACAAATATTTTAGAGGCATGGTGCCTTGGCTGAAAACATACAAGTCATGCGCAAAGTGGGGCTGTGTTGTCAACTTTCACAGCAAGTGCGTGTTGCCAGTTTTCACGGCGACAGTAAGGGTGGCGTTTGCAAAAGATTGCACTCTGGAATCCGGTTTCAAAAGTATGAGCGAAAGGCCAAACCACAACAAAGGCTTAATGTTTTAGGCAAAAGATGTTGTAGTGTAAACAGGGGCCACTGCATCTGGGAGGAGCTTTAAGAGGGAGGAGGAAAGTGAAGGAAGCAAGGAGGCATAAATAAGAAATGGAGCAGTGCCCACAAGTTCACTCCAGTGGGAAAAAGGGAAACTCCACTAATGTTACATATCAAAGTCTGTTCACAGGTCTTGAGGAGCACTGCTGCATATGTATTGTTAGCCGCTACTAGCATAACACACCTGAATCTACGACCCGACTGTTGATGATCCAGTTGTATTGTGGACAATGTAGACTACCTGTAGTGAGGCAGACAATGCCATAAAAGTGCAATACTAAATCGTTGGAGAGCTCTTTTAATTGCTCTGTCGGCATCTGTTTTCTACACCTTTAAGCATGTGTTTCCTCACTCACAGGTTGTGTCACATATTTACAGCTGTCGGGTTACTTTTCAAATAGGCTTTGTGCCAAAAACCGCAGGCTCATCACCTGATCAAACTGAGCTGCTCTTCCCGTAGCTCTTCACTAGCACCACCGTAAACACTACAGTACTCCTTCACAAACATCTGATGCTCAATAGAAGAGGTCCACATCACTGCCTCAACCTACCAATAAAGCTTGAATCACTTCCACACTAACATGTGGCACATATCTGTCAACTCCAGCCGAGTGCAGCCTTGAAATTGTTCCACACTGGTCTCCCTCAGATGGCTCAATTTGGCAGCTCAGAACAAATCCAAAAACCGCAGCACTGCTGCTACAAAGGGAGTGGCACCTCCCTGTTTGTAGGCTGTGATCCAGCTCCACACTCCAGCCCTATGCTTTGTCCTTACAGGCCTCCTGTCTGGCACCATCAGTCCAGCTGCCATCAGCATTTCCTTTCAGGTTCCCAGAGTTAAAGTGCCATTCACAAACTGATATTTACTAACTAAAAACGTTCAAAAAAACACTTTAGGTCTCCCCTACTTTGATCTGCCTCTTACTTCTGTTCCCAGTTGATTCTGTGTTTATTTCACTCTTTACAGAAAATACAAGTTAATTTATTACGAGGTATTAAGCTCTTCAATTTCTGAAAATAATCTTCTTATTCTTCAATACTTTTTATTCTAATAGCCTGAAAACATCTACATTAACTAGCCAAACACAATTAGTTACATTTTATAGCTGATGAGTACGATTCAAAGGGTACAAACCCAGTGAAATATGGGTAAATAGAACAACTGTTTCTTAGCATAAGGTCAATGGATGTTTTAAAAATGGAGTGCCAGTGGTTTATTGATAGATTAGGCATCTTTTTTTATCAAATGGATTTTTTGTTTTTTGTTTTGCTTTGGAAGATGAAAATGAGGCTCAGTGTAACATGTTATGTTCTTCTTGATACACACCTAAAATGGTGTGAAAATATGGTGCATCTGTTTGTGGTGACATGCTCTCAGCCTCGGCTCTGCGGCTCTACCTCGGTTGAAGATCTGGGTAGAAAACCCCATGTATCACACCTTCAATCACAACATTTGAAAATGTATCTGAAAGAAAAAGAAGAAGAGAAAGTTATTTCAATGAAAGGATAAAGGATTTGTACATTAGTGTTATAGTTAATTTAACACAAATAATAAATAAGTTCCTATTAAAATGACTAATTAATTGGGATATTATGATATTACATGTATGTAAGTATCATGAACTCACCGTTTGCAGATGGCAGCAGGTAGGGGTCTCTCAGAAACAGCAGGACAGGCTGGTGTGAAAGTTTACTGAGAAGAGTCCAAAAAGGAGAAGTGAGAAGATTTGTGGGCGGCTACATGCTGCATATAAATTAACAGGATGAAGAAACGTTGGTGGTGTCACTGACACACAGGGTGAAGTTCAAGGGGAGAGCAAATAGTGACAGTTCAAACCAGTTCAATGGTACAAAGCGAGAATCTGACCTGCAGGTTTTAAAATATTCACTGAAACAGGAAACCAAACAACTCACCTTGATTCTTCTGATTCTGTATCGAACGACCTTAGAGAAGAAATATAAAAGTTAAGCTTCACAGCCTTCCAGTATCCTGGGAGCAAACTTCATCACAGAAAAGGAAAAAAAAAAGCCACAAATTGGTCTTTTATTTCATAGAAAACCTGCAGTTTCAACTCACCCACAGCTTTCTGTTTTTGGCACTGAAGGAAAATGTCGGATATTCAGGAAATCCAGGAATATCTTTGGAAGAACCCCATTTTCCATAATTATAGTCTGACAAAACAGACAAAACAAAAGCAAATTACAATGTGCGCATGAGGCACAGCTGACCTTTCTCTGGTCAACAGTTTGAGTTTGTTTAGTCGCCCTACATTTGTACTGCAGTTTGTATGTTTACTTTGGGTTAGACAAAATTTGTATTTGGGAAGAAAAAGTTGCGATACTGACTTCAAATACAACAAAAAATGTTTTGGTTCTTTATCTAATTATCTTTATTACCTGCAGGTAGAGCTCCAGACCATGCCTCCTCTGCTCCAGGACTTTGGGAACCCAGTTTCTAACATGTTTTGAAGGGATCTCAGGTGGCTTTATGCTCTTCTTTAGCTGGAGGGATTTAAAAAAAAAAAAATTGTTTTAATATACATGGCAGATCAGGTCAGGTAGACCAGAAAAAAATGAAGTCTATAGCCGTGCTAGAAGCTCTGTAAAGCTGTACTTATGCAGACAAATGTCAGACCAAGGGGCCAATCCATACAGTGGCACTGCTAGCATCAATAATCAATAATAACCCAGCATTTGTGAACCATAATTTACATTTTTCACAGCAGACATGTTGATTTGTTACATTAGGAAAAGCACCGGTGTTATTAATAACATTGCTCTGTTCAGCTCAAGTGTCCCAGTAAGTCACGTCAACAACACCAGGAACCTGAAACCAAAGCAGCTAAATGTAATTCAGCCATCTTGAATCTGAGTATTTACACCTGTGCTTTTCCTGCTGTGTCCAAATGTCTCCTGTGGAAAAAGGCCAGTACAGAGAGCGGCGCTCCAATCAATCAAAGTGTGGACTACTGAGCAGGACAGGAAGAGGAACTCATTTGTAAAGCTACAACCTCAAACAAACCGGTGGTTAACCACCATGGAGCGCAGTAAGTATTTATTTGCTGCTGTGATTTTTCTCTGCATGTCAACACACGTCTGAACTTTGAGCTGCAACAAGTTTTAATTATCAATTAATTGATGTATTGTCTTTTTTAGATTACCCAATTAATGTTTTAGTCTCTAAAATCTCAGACAGTAAAGATGGAAGCCAATAGAGCCCAAACTGACATCTTTCCATTGCTTTATTTGACAGAACGGATGAAAAAAAAGCCCAAATGGATTCAGTTCATGAGGATATGAGAAAAAGCTCATATTGAAGAAGATTTTACTTATTAAAGACCTAAGGACTTGAAAGCTTTAATACTGGACACCAATAAATGGTCATAAACTTTGAAGATGGACCAAATCTTACCATTTTATGCAAAGCGTGAAATTCACTGTAGCGTTTCTCAACAGTGTGTTGCCTGCCATTCATCAGCACGTCAATTTTAAAGACCTGAAAGAAAGGAAACAGTTGAGTCAGTTAGCGATTTATCACCAGAGCCCATCAGTCACAGATGTCCCCGCCCAGTGCAGTCAGCCTGTGACTGTGTCGGTTAAAGTCAAGGTCAGCTGGTTACCGACAGGAAACATCTGGCTGCTGTAGTAGAAAATAATTTGATCTGTCAGAGTTACTGATAACATCCCTAAGCAGACTTCCCTCACTCAGCTGGATTCTTCCGTAAAAGCTGCATAGACAGCATAAAAACGTCTGCCAGCATTATGTAAAAAGAGGAAATCCAGGCCGTGGTGTTAATGCAACTCTTGACTGGCAACATAAACACGTCAATGGTGAGATCTCCCAACACAGAGAGCCAGCAAGAGAGACTTATTAACAAATCCTGGAACAGCTCAGAGTTTTAAATCACATTAAATACAGTTTGTCAATGTTATTACAAAAACTCTGTGTTTTTCCACCATTAGTCACAGGAACTGCAGTTTATATGTGAGGAATGCAGAATTTAAAAGAACATGTAAACACTTTGGGAAATAAAGGTCATTTGCTTTCTTTCCAAGAGTTAGAGGAGACCGCTTTAAAGTCTATACGGTAAATATGAAGCTGCTGTCAGAAGCTGGTTTGCTTAGCTTAGCATTAAAACAGTTAGCCTGACTCAAAGAAAGCTAAACTATTCTTTTAAATTCAGGGAAAAAAAGAGGGAAATGGGATCTGGTCAGTACCCGGTATGAGGAAGTACCCTGAGTGGAGGTACTGGAGTTCAAATGAATTATGGGAAACGTAGGATCCAGTGTTTTTGGAGGCTGACCTATACGAAGAAATAAAAGCCTGTATATCACTTAAATTGCTGGTGTGCCCCTTTAAAGTGAAATTTAAGGAGCAGAAAAAGGTTTTTAAAGGGGGGGATCATTAAAACAATATGAGGTTCCTGTATACAATGGATTGATTTCATAAAGCTTTATTTAAAATCAGTGTTTATTTATAACAGGGATCCTCTAGTGAACTGGGTTTAACATTCCCACTGTCTCTATTTAGACACAAATTCAATCAGCCAATACAGGTTTTAGGAAATCAAGTGATTTTGAACACTGGATTGTTTACAAGGTGAGTTCAGGGCTGATTTGACGCATTAAAAACAACAACAACAACAACAACAACCCTTTAACTCACATTAACATCTGCTGTTTGATGTTAAACAGTTTGTTATTTCTCGGGTACAGAAACAGCACCTGAGTTAAAATGAGACACTGATGACAGCAGCAGAGCAGACGACCGACACAGACACACAGACAGAGGTTATTATTATTATTGTTATTATTATTATTATTATCATGGAGCAGCTCACCGTGTATCCTTTCTCCATCGAGTTGTTCTCGGAGCGAAACGACGGGATCGACACTCTGACTGGATGCATTTCGAGTTGTTTTGTAGGTAATATTTGATCCTATGGCACACACACACCACATACATACACACACACACACTGCTGGTGGTTTACTCCAGTTTCTGTGGCAGGCAGCCTCATAAAAAAAAAAAGAAATCATGGATTTAAACAACATGAGAACAGTGTCCGTGCTGCCCCCTGTTGGAGCGGAGGATACTGACAATGACCAGGTTGGGATTTTATGGGTCACTTTATATTTAGTTCTCCTACTAAATATATCACTAATTATGAGATAAATTATAGTATGAGTGACTTTAACTTTAACTTTAAATGTATACCATATTTTACATTAGATAACCATTTATAATATTAATAATACAAACAAGAATTTCACACATTTCATGAGTGTTTTTGTCGTTTTCATACTTTTACTGAAAAAGGAACAAAACCCCTCACTGGACATACAAAGATAAGATTTCCAACACATGATTTATATAATAAATCCAGAAATATTGTTGGATTTAATACATTGAAATTAAATCTACATATGGACGTACTCTTTCAGCCCATCGTACGCTCCCTGCCCCTCTTAAAGCAGCTTCTTTTAGTATTTTTATCATAGTGATGAACCCACTCATACATTTCCCCTCAGCTCCACAGAGTATCTTTCAGTTTTTTGTATTTCTTGACTCTTTGTTACTCAGCACCAACTGATACTGTTAGCCACCAAAGCTTGTTAACATAGTGGAGCATTAAGAGCCAAATATGTCCATCGGTACATCAGGTGGCATCAAACACAACTTCAAATGAATGCTAATGTTTCTAGATGTGTCAATGAACATCTATTTGCTAACAAATTCCCCATTTAAATGTAATAAGGTTAATATAAGTTGGCGCTGCCCCCAAGTGACCAAAACTCAGTTAATACAGGTTTAAGCAAGTGAGCTCAACAACTGCTACCAAATGGTTTGAGCAGCAACAATGTCAAAGTAATTCTGAATAAACCAACTTGCTGCTGCTGACTAAAATGAACACATAGCGCTCCTAACTAGTGCTGAAATTATTAGTTAGTCATTCTACAGCAAACAAATCACCTGCAATCAATAAACTGTTAATCATCAAAATTATTTAACTTAAATTCAATTCTGAGTTTAATTCAAAAGATGTATAGCAGAATTATTTCCTGTTTTATTTTATATTATTATTCTATGAATTTAATCATGTTTTCTATGTGTGTACCATGAAGAAACTGCAAACTTTCAGTTCATTTTACAACCTTGTGTTGTACAATAATAAAAAATGTCCTTGACTCCTTATTAAAGGGGCATTGCACCAGTTTTAGACATCAAGAACAGTTTACTAGTCATGGTTTTACTCAGTTTGTGAAAACAGTAATGTGCTTCAGCTCTGGAGAAACCTTTTTTAAGTCTACAAAAAATGACCCTGGTGATGTCATAGTGATGTCATCAGGGTAATGGACGCTGGAAACTCAGAAACTACGAAAGTCTGAGCTACAAAACTGGAGTTGGGAGGTTTTAAAGATGTGGGTGTTTACCAGGCAGAGTTAGGGTCTAATGAAAGATTCTATCAACTTGCATTATTGGAAATGTAGGCACAAGTGTTTTGGAGCTTTTAATAGGTACTGAAAGTCAGAATATCTCTGCCTCTGGTGTTTCTGTTTGTTGTTTGTTGTTTGTTTATTTGTTTGTTTCTCTCACAAATCGTGATAACATTCACACAGTTTCTAGTTTGCTTCTTTTTCTCTCTTTTATATGACACGAAGATTGTTACCACGGGGCTCTACAAAACTCGTATCTTTTATCGACTAAACAATTAATGGATTCATCAAAAAATAATCAGTAGTTTTAACTTTTTATGTTCACCCTTTTCATGGCGTGAGTCTGTATTTGTGATTAAGTGTGTGTGGAGACAATAAGACACAGAAAAAGTAAAAATGAGGTCAATTCTCAACGTTTTATTCAACTAAGTTTCACCAAAAGCTTTGAAGTCTTCCGTTGCTTATAAATATAACAAATACATTTTCCTTTAAACAGCTGGTTCATTTTAAACTTGTGATATAATTGATAATGACTTAACAATGAGGGCAAGCTGGTTTACATTTGTATTTCGCTATTCTAAGCTTCTAATTCATGGATTTCATTCTTTCACTATCTTACAAGTGGTATGAAACGCAAGCATACAGTACAATGCAAAAGAAATATACCATACAGAAAAGATGAGATAAGGATATACTTATTTGTAAGGAGAAAAAAAAAACTGCTTTCCCACACAAACAAAGAAGAATTCAACATTATCTGACACTATGACATCAGATTACTTTTTATTATCCTAGATTGGGACTATTTTAAATTGTAAACAACATTACTAACAATTTAAATTTTATTTCAAGATGTTTTATATGCTTTAATATGCAGTCCTCTTCATTGTCATTTACAGAGCACGCTGTGAATGACTGTCAACTCTTAATACCTGAAAAAAAGAGATAAAAATAGAACAAACACCCCATGAGGATTACAATGGAGGACACAAGAAATATCAAAGAATTATTTGTCACATGAAACATGAGACACTTACGTTGACATGTGACAACCTGACACGTAGGCGTAGTTGCCAGTGTAGCGAACGTCACAGCGCACAATGTTGTTGCTGTAGTCACTTTCTGGGACCTGATAGTACGGATTTACACTGACCTGTGGAGAACAACAAGATACATATTACAAAAAATATATGAACGAATAATGCAAAGATAAAAACACAGCAAAGACCCGAATCAAATGTTGATGAATGTAATGTGATTCCACTCTTTTAAAGGGGTTTAGTGTCTCAGGAGGAAGCCAAACATCATCTGGTATTTCTAACAAACCTTGAGGATATAGTTTCCAGGTTTCACATCTGTGATGTCAATCCACTGGCAGTCGATGTCTGCGTTGTAGGTATCATAACATCCCGGGCTAAGGCCCTGCACATTGGACAGCATCCATTAAAAGCATTATATAAACAAACAACTTGTTACTAAACAATATAAGGCCCTTTTACATATAGAAACTTTCATAAAGACCTTATACAATATACCAATATACCTTAAATTTATTACAGTATAGAATAAAAAGCTTATAATAACAAGAACATTAATTAAAACTGTATTTTTGGTTCAGTCTTAGAGGTATTATTTGGATGCAATATCAGCAAGAAGAGAAAGAAGAGGATGGAAAAAAAAAGTCATGAACTAAACAACTGATCACAGACGTTCAGGCCAGTGGGATCGTCTTGCCGGAGAAACAGGAAATCATTAAATCACCATCACCACTGGCTCGTGCAAAAGGAAATACTACAGTTGTTCTCTAAAGGACAGCTGCCTCAGTGAAAGAGAACTTGTTTTTCTTAGTTCCACTCACCTTTTCCAACTTTAGAAACCTTTCTCTATTTCTGAACTGGCTTTTATTTTGCAACATTAATAATTGAAACAGACTTTTACCACAAGAAGACATTTTGACACGTCACAGTAGAAAAAACACGGGTGTAAATAATTCAATCAATTAAGGCTGAATTCCATTTAGGTTCTTAAGTTTCAGGGTCCTGGTATTGTTCATGCTGCCTCACTGTCTCACTGTCATCGTCTACTGGGACACCATCGTTAATGTTATTAGTAACACCTGTGCTTTTCTTGATATGACAAGTATAAATGTCTTCAGTGCCCACAGGATGCTTATAATATGTACAACTGCTGTGGACAATTAGTGCTATGAATGGTGACATGAATATGAAGATGTAATATGTGTATTAATAGATTAGTCTCTTTTCTTTATATAAAAAATAATAATATGGTGTCTCCATGTTAAAGGGTTACAGCTTTAACCCTGCAATAACAGTAACAATAACAATTTTGGCTAGTTAGATGATACTCTCTGTGTTTATATGCAGAAGCTGCCAGCTCGTTTATTCTGAATTACTTTTAACATTGTTGCTCTAGCTAACACAAGCTAACGGGCTAAAATTGGTTGCAGGCGCTTATTTAAACTTGTATTAAAAGATTTTTAAAAGGGCAGCGGAAACAAGCTGACATACTTGAATTGTATGAAGTTGATGTGGTAAACTCGTTAGCAAAAAGTTGCTTATTTACACATCCAGCAGACACCGAGCACATTAGCATTGGTTTGTGTGTGTCTCTGGCCACTGGATAAGTAGCTCCTTTTAGCTCTGTCTCCACTAACTCCTTAAAGAAATATCTGTCTCTTTAGCTGATAAATGCTTCTCTATTTTCACAAGCTAGTTGCTACCTTGCTAACTAACCTAAGTAGGTAGCATAGAGTCCAAAACCAAAACAATGAGCTGAAAGAAGCTAAATGCAGAGCTGACAAGAACTGCAGTATCAGGTGATAATTCTCTGTGGGTTTGTTTGAGCGGCCCAAAGTGATCTATTGTTAATACAGTAATAATAATATGATATTATATAATATAATAATATATAAAAATGCAGCTTTAAAGTGAGTAACAACAACATATTAACAGTTCACTTTTCAGCATGTATCTCTGAGACCTGGGTATGTGCAGTGCAGGCAAATCGCCGGTAGTAGCCGTAGTCACAGGAAGTGTCCTCCAGGCAGAAGCTGGCCTTGTGGCCCTCAGCCATCGAGTGGTGAGTGCTGGCATCCAGCAGCTCGTAGTGGCTGAACTCGTCCATGCTGTGGAAGTGCCTGTGGATCAGCAGCAGCAGTGTTCATCATCAGTTTTAATCTATAACGAGCGAGGTCCACATCAATCTAGGACTGTTTATCATGTTGAGACCGGCCAGGGACATTTATACACTTACTGATTAACATTTAAATACATTTTGTTGGACTTTTACCAGCATTGACCAGCATTCAAATGGCTGCAAGTCACTGTGACTGGAAACCTCACAGTTGTTTATTTTATTTATTATAAAACTGCAATGAATCTGAATTTGCTTTCACTCCATTATCCTAAAGACAGAGTTTGTTTAATGAGACAGAAACAATCTGGATTTGAACATCACTCAGCTTTCAAAGCCCTGAAAAATAATCTATACAGTCTACATCAACAGTTTATTGGATCACTGCCAAATGTGCTCCATCTTGGGGATTAGCACAGTGGA